GTGCGGATGGCACGCGAGCGCAACCGCTTCTAGGGAGGCCCGGCAAATCTGTAGGCACATACATCAGTCGCCAAGGACGGAACCTGTGGTAGAGGAGATGATTACCGCAGAATGCTGGATGAATTCGCCCGGCAAGTAGATCCGAAGGCCGGTGGCAGTGGTGTCAACGTTTCTGGCTTTGGCTTTTTTGGCTCCTGCTTTTTTGGCTTTGGCGTTGGCATTGACGGCACTGGCTGGAGGCTGGCTGGAGGATTAGCTTTGATAGGGCTTTGATAGGGCTTTGAAAGTGTTGGCTTGAACAATGCTAGCATTAACAAAGATGGTGTGTATGTTTGAAGGTCGAAGAGAGGCAGCAGGGCGGACGAAGAGCCAGTCAAGTTGCGCAGGAGCGAGAGATGGCGGAGCAGGTGCGATCAGCTCGGTGGGAAAGAATGGGCGCAGCGTGTCGACGACGTCCTCCGCCGCGCTGCAGCAACCTCAAGAAAAGGTTTGTTTGAGCAGGCTGCCCATGAGCCTGAGACTGGTCGCATCGGCTGCGGCTCGAAAATCTCTCCATGATCCTACCTTTACGACAAACGCCAAAGCCGCCTGTTGTCGACGCATAGAACTGTTTGCTGCTTGCCTCCAAATACCAGCACGCAGACCGCAGCGAAGCTTCCACTTCTTCAGCTTCTGCTCCTCGCTGATTCAAGCACAGGCTTGCCAAACAAAGACTCCCAACGGCTCCAGTGTTCCGGACGCCTCAAGAAGTCATGCCGAGGATCAACGCTCACCACCGAGTGTCGAGAAACTTCACCGTCACAAAACAAAGCCAGGACACACGGATTGGACTAGAAGCTATACATTTCGGAAGAGAAGCACGTCACGCTGTCTAGAAACTACCAGGCAGTCGGATGCGCACCCCCTCCCACCACGCCGCCGCCATCGCTTCCTACCACAAGAGAATGGTATCAAATCCCACCCGCAGATCGTGACACAAAACAACAAAGGAGAGAAAGAGCCGACGCCGCTGCGACTGTGCGTTCGCCAGCCAGCCAGACAGACATCCAGAAGAAACACTCAAAAGGCTAAAGAGCAAGAACCAAGGAAACCCAAAACAAACCCAACCTGGACGGACATGACGTTTAGAACAGCGCAAGGCCGGCGGCAACGACGCCGGCAAGGCCGACGATGGCGTTGACGCTACCCTTGGACGCGGCGCCCGTGTACAGCGGCGACGGCGCGGGCGTGGTGGGCGTGGAGCTGGCCGTGGCGAAGACGCGCGACGCCGTGGCGACATCGACAACGGGGACGCCGCTGCCGCTGGGCGCCGGGCTGTGGAAGTGCACGACCGAGCCGTTGCTGGGCTTGTAGAACGAGGTGCCGTTCAGGGGGGCAGGGCTGGGGACGGCCTTCATGATGACAGTCGAGAACTGGACATCAGGGGTACCGGCGGGGGAGCTGGGGGTTCCCTTGGGAGTGTGGACGGGGCCGTTCCACGCAGGAGTGCCAGTGGCACCGGCGACGGAGCTCATGGCAGAGGGGGTCCAGTTGTCGACCTTGACGGCGCCAGAGTTGGAGGGAGTGGCCGTGCAGCTGCAGTCCGTCACGGTCTGGAGCTCAGTGGTGTACTGAGTGACCAGGGGCTTGGAGGCAGCAGGGGTGGTGGCAGGCTCGCTGACAGCAGACTCGGGAACGTCAACGGACGCAGAAGGAGCCGGAGTGTAAGAAGGAATGTCAACAGAAGCCGACGGCTTGGAGTCCTTGGATGCGGGAGCCGAGGGAGCGGGGGTGTAAGAAGGAACGTCAACCGAGACAGAGGGAGTCTGGGACTCGGCGCTCGTGGCAGGCGTCTGCGAAGGGACATCGACCGAAGCAGCGGGCGAAGACTTGGAGGCGGGAGCCGAAGGAGCAGGGGTGTACGAAGGAACGTCGACCGTGGCGGACGTCTTGCTCTCAGTGCTGGGAGCGGGAGTGTAAGAAGGCACATCGACCGAGACAGAGGGAGTTTGGGACTCGGCGCTCGTGGCAGGCGTCTGCGAAGGGACATCGACCGAAGCAGCGGGCGAAGACTTGGAGGCGGGAGCCGAAGGAGCAGGGGTGTACGAAGGAACGTCGACCGTGGCGGACGTCTTGCTCTCAGTGCTGGGAGCGGGAGTGTACGAAGGAACATCGACGGAAACAGAGGGAGTCTGGCTGGCCTCGCTGGTGGCGGGCGTTTCCGCAGGCACATCGACCGAGGCAGAGGAAGAAGCCTCCTCAACCGGGCAGACAGTGGTGCTCACATCGACGGTTTCAGTGACAGTGTGCTCCTGGGTTCCGCTGGTCGTGGTGCGAACGCGGGTGGAGCGGACAGTGGAAGTGGTGTAAACCGGGGGAGCAGGAGTCGTGAGACCACCAACCTCAGAGGGAGTCGTGGGAGCAGGCGTCGACGAAGCCGGGGCCGAAGGAGCTTCAGTGGAAGGAGCTTCAGTGGAAGGAACCTCGCTGGCGGGGCAGACGGTCGTGCTGATGTCAATCGTCTCGGTGACGGTGTGCTCCTGGCCATCGCTGGTCGTGGTGCGGACGCGAGTCGACTGGATGGTCGAAGTGGTCATGGGAACTGACGGGTCGACAGATCCAGCGTCGGTAATGGCAGGAGTCGGCTCCGACGTGGGGCTGGTGACAGTCCAGGCAGTCGAAAAGGCACTAGACCATGCGGAACCCTCGGCGGTAGCAGGGCAGGACTCGGCCGCGCTCTCGATGCAAGAGCAGGACTCGTCCCAGGTGGAGCTGAAAAGGTCCAGGTCGAGATCGACGCAGACGTTGAGGGGAACCAGGTCAACGCAGGCGGAAACCTTGGCCTCGAGGATGACCTTGTTCTTGCAACGGCACTCGGGAGTGTCGTTCACGCAAATGTCGGCGAGAGCGTTGATGAAGCACTGCTCACGGCATCCTCCGGGGTTGGGGGGCGCGACGCAAGACTGGCCGCAAGTGGTGATGCTCGAAGTTGCGAGCGAAGTGGCAGTGGTCGTGGGAGTACCACCAAGGTTGATGCCAGCCGTGGCGGCGACGCCAGAAGCCAGACCAACACCAGCAGATGCTGCGGCATTGAGGCCGAGGACGTCGGCATTGACACCCAGGTCCAGAAGGTTGGCCGAGGCGCCAGAGGCGAGCACGGCGGCGGCAAGAGCTTTACGGTAAGCCATTGCGGGTATATTTTTTTTTAGGATTAAGAATTAACGAGTGTAAAAATTAATCGACGAGCAATCCCGATCCTTTCAAAAGAGTGAAGAAGGTCGGAAAAGAAGAATAGGGAGCGCCCGTTTGGAGTGAGGTGGGTGAAGAAGAGAGCAAGACGGCAAGGAGAGTCAGGCCTCTATATAGACCCAGCGACGAAGGACAGACAAAGACGATCACAGCCATGGCATCTGGGGGCCGACGAATCACGAGCGAGTGGCAACGGTCTGGTGGTCTCATTAGCAGAGGGTCTCTGGATGCCGGTCGCTACCTGTTCCTGGGCAGTGTGGGAGGCGGATCCCCATGATGGAGCATCTAGATGGCCGAGCAGGGGCACGAGGGGGCCGTTGCGTATCGGCGAGGAGCCCTATCAGGATCAGGGGGTGCGGACAGGAACGAGGTGACGTTGGAGTCGTGGTCGTCGGCAGACGGCAGCTTCGGGCCGGAGCGCTCCACTCGGGCAATTGGCCCGTGCCGACAAATGAGCGGCCCTCTTTTTGGCAAACCGTCTCCCCTTTTCATCCACCGCCCTCGAAATTGCTGCTCATCGACTCTGCTCCGACCACGCCAGTAATCACGATCTTCGCCTCGTCTCCTTTTACTCGCCAGAGCCCGCCCCGTCCAGTGATCCCGAGCCTCGAATAGCCCGAGGCTCGCGACGGCCGAATACGCCGTACCTTGAACCGCTTCACCAGCGACTGCTTCTTGCATTCTTGGTGCGTATACGAGGGTGGATGAACAAAGATCACCAGATCGATTCCGGGGTCTCGATGGCTTCTCTTTGAAAAGCATCGCATCTCGAATCTTCAACCTCGCCGGCAACCAACGACGGCTGGCTGCCAAGACCAATTGACCCTGTGCTCACGAGCTTTGTTGGAGGGACACGACCCAGAATCCGGTGAGAGGGCACATCTCCGGCCCGGCAAAAATAAGTCGAGGCGGGGAACGGGAGCTTGGTCTTTCATTGGCGTCTGTTCTTCCATTGCCGCCCCAGAGGAATTGGCCTGTCGACTCTCTTCCAGCAAGCGCGCGACAGTCTCCATTTCGCCAGTCCATTTCGCCAGACGCCAGGTATCAATTTTGGTTCTCTTGCTACTGTTCTTCATCTCGGTGCGGATACTGCGTGGCAGATTTTCCAGTCTCCTTCTTGTTCTCTGTCATGTCCGTCGTATACGCCCCAATTCGCTCACTCTCGAATACGACCCGTCCAGCGTCCCGGGCTCCAATATGCATCTTCCAACTCGTAATGGGACACACGCTGTCTGTCTTAGTCGTAACGGCATTCCCACAACTCACCGCCGAGTGCTGCTTGGCCACATGCAGCAACCAACAAGGTGCAACCCGACCTACTACTAGTTCTTGTTACGATGATGCGGCAAAGTCCGAGCAGCGATTGCGCAGAATCTGTGATTGAAAGCACAGCCGCAGCAGTGACGAGCGGGGTCTCGGACTGCTGCTGGCGCGGACCAGTGTCCCCGTGGCTGGTTGACGCTCGAGCCCACCCGGGAGATGTTGACGGACGCCTCCCTTCCTGTGCGAATAATTCACCGCATCTTCTCGCTCGTTCTGGAATGGACGGATGCCCTTGGTCTGTCTGCTGGTTGTTGAGGTTTCTTTTTGCAACAGCCATGGCTTCTCCCTGACGCTACCACCCCAGTATTCGCAGGCTTCTCACGTCTCCATTCTTCACTGAAGGACTTGCTCTTGCTGCACTTCATCATCGTCGCGCGATGCTGGTTTCGTTTCTGTTGTCACAAAAAGCTCTCTCAGTCCCAAACCTCAAAAAGAACCACACGATCCTATTCCATCGCCGAGGGTCGAACTCGGGTCTCCAGGCAGACTGCTCGCTTGCGCAAGCCAGTAAACACCACGCAACGCACCAAAATGCTCAGCTTGTACGGCTACAAAGAGGTGGCACGCTCGTAAGCAGTGCGGCGTGCGCGCATGTTTGGCCTGGCGTGCTACCACTGCACCACGATGGACTGATTGTTGAGCGAGTGTCCACTTCAGACAAATATTACCTCTCATCCAGCCTTTCGCGAGCGCGACTTCTCTTAAAAATCGCTAATGATGGAACTAAAGACTAATGAGCTCCGCTGAAAATGCAGCGCCCTGACAATCCCAACATCTCCGCCGTAAGAAGTAGAAATGCGCTGACGGCGCAGCACAGCATACATAGCGTGGCCAATCGCACATTGTCCGAGGGATCATACTTGGTGTAGAGCGGCGCGGTAAACAGTCGACCGCTATTGTAAAGTAGACACGTAGGCCAGTAGGTAGGCCAGTCGACGAAGCAGGCAAAATTCTTCGTTGTGTGGTGTTGTGGTTTTGTTTGTTATCGTGGTCGTGTGATGACAGTGCCATTTCCTTCCCTCAGTCCGTCGTTCAGTCTGCATGTGAAGAGAATAAATATAACAGGCCTACCTCTCATTCCGTCCAACTCCACCTCGCTCTCTTTTCTTCCTCGCCATGCTGCTGTCCAACGTCAAACAACATATCTGAGCTTTCCGTCCGCACGTCTACTGCACATGGTTCCTTTTTAGACGCGCCGTTTATAGGTGGAATTAGTGATCAGCGGGTCATTTTCGCCTTCTCTCCTACTTATGTACTCTATTCGGCTGCGTTGTACAGACGTGGGGTAGATGTTGCATGGTATGTTCCTTTTCTCTTCTTCCCGCCCCCCCGCTCTTCTTTTTTCTGTAGGGTAGCTGATGGCGGACGCTCTTAAGTCTCAATGGCAGCATCTATTCAAGGCAGCAGGACGTGTCGCGGCGGTCTACTTTGACTAAGCGAGGAGAGGGTGTGCAGTGGAAAGTAACAGGTAGGAATTTTTCGCTAGACGCCAACGTAGGATGTTATTTGTTTCCTACCGCCTAGCATTAATAACATAAATGAGGCCGCATAACCCTATTCTTACTCCTCTTCCTTTCCTCACCATCTTATATCAAACGAATCCTACACTTAAAATCATTCTACCCATTCTCAACCCGGATAGTCTTCAATGAGTGAGCACAGAGTAGGCTGCTACCTTCTTCCCTACCTCCCTCCCTATATACCGACGAATGACAGCGCCTCGTCTATGACTGCCATGGCCTGACGCGCCGCCGTGCCGTGCACAGCGTACATTCGCACGCGCATAGCATGGTTATGCTTGCAGCGGGAGTGAGAGTGCAATCAAACTGGAGGATGCCGGAGGACGGGACCGCTGGATCACTCGCCTAGTAGATAGGTTGTTGGGTTGTTGGGTTGTTGGGTCAGGTTGTTGTGTTGTGTAGACAGGGCAGCACGCTAGATGTCATGTTGGGCCCGCGCAGCAAGAAAGGAGATAGGGCGAGGAGATGGTCGTAGGGAAGATTGCCGTACCCTAGCGTGAGCCTGTCTGTTTGTCTATCAATCTGTCAATCAATCAGTCCTCATAGCCTTTTTTGGCTTTGGTTCCTGGCGCTAGGTGTGTAGCTGAGGTACCCGTTTGTCAGCTGAAGCGCCGGGTACATAGGTATCCAGGTATCCCATATCCTGATACGGGATGCGCACAGCTGGCAGGCCGAAAAGCAGGTAGGTTGGCTTGCTGGATGATGCTTCGTACCTTGCCTACCTAGTCCAAGGCACCGCACCGCGCGTCGGAGCGATTGCACGGATGGACGAGTCCACAAGCTAGGTAGCTAGATAGGCAGATTCTTGATCGTCGCGCGGTGAGGCGGCGACCAGTTGGCGCGGCCAATCGATCTGGCGCTATTTGGCAACAAAGTGGCGCGAAGACCATGGTTGGCTGACCGGCTAGCTGTCTCACGAACAGAATGATGCTAGATCCGGGGACGGGAGGCTGGCTGGGGTTTGTTTGTCGCCGCCTACCTTACTGACCCAGCTAGCTAGCTAGCTAGCTAACCTCTTGCTCTGGCAGCCAAATCAAGCGATTAGCGTAGTTGCAGTAGTGCGTTGTGACGGCGTCGCCGTGGCGGTTTCGAAGACGCGAGAGATGTGTTGTTGGAGCGCCTGGTTGGTTGTTGGTCGTTGGTCGGATGGCGCGCTCGGTGGTAGAAGTACATACAGTAAGTACTCCTAGTAGTACACTATTGACCGCGCTGACACTGCTGGATCGAGACTGACTTGAGAGGATGCGACGCTTTTCACAACGCGGAGGGGAAGTATTGCGACCGCGGCTGGGGGTTGGTCGTGTTTCAGTATTTGCACTGCAGCTTCTCTGTCGGCCGCTGACGAACGACGCTTGTTGTTGCAATTTGCCTGCGGGGCTGCATGTCGAACCGCGTGCCTTGAGAGATGCCAACTCCACGGAGGTCATCCTGGGAGCAGCTGTCGTCGGACCGTCAACAAAATTGCATCATGCGTTTGGTGCTTTGCCACAGAAGGCAGGAACAGGACAGAAAGGTGTTTGCCAGGAAGAGCCCTGCATGGCAAGTCGTCGACAGGCACCACCAAGGCACGGCGAAAGATCTGCAGTCTTTGAGGGTTGGCGAGATCAAGTCGTCGTGCGAATGCCGTTTTCTTGTCGCGTGGCGCCGCTCGTATTTGGAGACTCGGCACGACCAGCACCATATCGGCGACGGGCGAGTAGCAGGGCATTGTCATGAAATTTCTCACATGGCCCTTTTTGGAACGTTGCACTGTGCCAGTCAGAGTGAGGTGAGGCATTGGATCAGACTGGTAGGGTGGTTTCACGCGACCGGGGTTGGCCTACCACGTTGATCAGGGGATAGCTGTCGCACGAGAGCGATCCAGCGATCAAGTCTGCGGGCATGGCGCGAATGAAGTGGACAATAGAGACTGGGTGTATGGTGTGGTAGAAAAGCGTAGAATGTGGCTGGGTCGAGTGGAGAGGAAGAATCGAGGAGAATGCAGATGCGGCACCGGTGCTTTTCGCCACGGTCGTAAATTTGCGACAGGCTCGTACTCGGAGCGTTGCCGAGGCTGTGAGGCTTAGTCGGAAAGTGTTTTTCGGTATAGGATAGAAACGTGGTGTCGTTGAATATCCTTGATTGAGTCGAGGTGGAGAAAAGCGGCCAAAAGCAGGGAAACGGAACTAGCGGGACGGTCCATAGATGACGCACTCAACCTTGGATAAAGTGTGGCAGAGGGGCCGCCTATTTCATCTAGCCTCGATGGCGTTACTGCACAGGATTGCGGGTCGTCGTGTGTTGAGGGTTTGAGGCGTCTCATTGGAAAAGCAACGACTGGACGGCGTGTGATGATGTGGGAGCTAGAGAGGTGCGACGCTGGCGAGAGAGGTTTTGGTGAAGGAGATGGACGACGAAGGACGGAGAGATTGGGCAGCGTTTTTGAATGAATGGATGAATGATCCAAGAGGATAGGATGGTGATGAAGATGAAGAAGTGGAGTTGAGTGGAGATGAGTGGTGGTTGGTTGACGACGCGTGCGGTCGGCCGGTCCGTCCCTGGCGATCCAGCGCCGCATGTCGGTCGCCTCTCTCCACCACCACCACGACACCCATCAACACCATCCATCCACCCATCCATCCATCCATCCATCCTTCCATCAGCCATCGACTGCAAACCCGCCCTAGTTCAGACTCGCACAGCGCCATCCTCGTCGCGGCCCACGGCCCACGGCCCACGGCCCACGGCCCACGGGTGGCACACCTCCTTGCGTGCCGTCGTCTTTGTCGACAGCTGACCCGTGGCGAGCATGCAAAAGCAACGCGACACCGAGGCCATCCTGGTTGCTGGCGCCCGGAATGGCATACATACATACATACAGCCTGCATTCCCTTGTTCCTTGCCGCCAACTGGACCTGCCTGACCTGAGGGCTGCCACACCATGCTGAAAACAATCCACCGCATAGTCGTCGTCCCGCCGCTCAAAACACCGTCGCCTTTAGGACGTGCTGCTATTACCGTCCGGCTCAGTCCATCTTTGCTACGCGCACGTGGACTAGGGCCTGCTCCGCTGTGCTACTCTCGCTCTCGCTACTCCCGCGTCTGTAACCCAGCCCTCGAGAGCACAGGACGGACGTGCTCATCTAATTGTACAACCACCCTCTGCACCCGCGGCCGCCAATCTGCCCAAGGCCAACGGTCGCCGCCGACGCAGTCTCGCTCTCCAAATCGCCCGGCTTTCCATCTGGTTATTATCCACCCTCTCTGCCCTATCCAGCCGCGTCCACCACCTCCCAGCACATGTCCCCAACGTTGCCGCCTTCGTGACCGAGGCCCTCACCATGCCTGGCGGCCTACATCCTCCGCCCGACCTGTACAGGCAATGGCAGACGGGCAAGTATCCTCACGGAGAGCGCAGAGACTGGTCCATTGTCATCATCGTCACCTTCTTTGGCGTCCTCGCCTACGCCACCGTAGCCGCGCGATTATGGGCTCGAGTCATTGTCAATCGCAACTCTGGCCTCGACGACGCCCTCATTGTAATGGCTCTTGTCTGTCCACTCTGGAATCGCCAGGGCTTGCGCTGACGGGCTCAGATTTTCACCTCTGGACTTGCAATATCTGTAATGCTAGGTCAGCGACTCTCCCCGTCCCTCGGATCTTCTAACGTCCTCCAGGAAGTCGACTCTATGGTTTTGACCGACATGTTTGGGATCTTACTCCAGCATTGGGCGTTCAGTCGCGCGAGGCAAGTCTGGCGTCGAAATCGCGATCCCAACTAACAAATGGCAGATTACAATGGCCATCGAAGCCACATATATCATCGCAACAGGCATCACCAAGATTTCCATCCTCTGCTTCTACCGGCGCATCGCCTCTGGCACCGTCGCCAACTGGTTCCTGTACGCGACCTGGGCCAGCATCGCCTTTGTCGTTGCCTACATGATTGCGTTCCTCGGAACCCTCTTTTTCGGCTGCAGCCCCATCAGCGCGTTTTGGAACCAAGTCGACGCCGAGTGGCTCGTGACCAACGACGGCAAGTGGCACTGCATTAATGAGCCCGGCAACTTGCTCGCCGCCAGCTCCGTCAGCATTGTGCAAGACTTTCTCGCCTGTGGCCTGCCCTACTT